TACACAAGGCAGGCCCAAGACCTAGGCCCGTCCGTCCAGCTGCAGGCAAAGAATCTCTTTGTTCTCTTTCCAAGAGACCCATCTGTGAGGGCCACCACGTGAGTTCTCTGGAAAGCTCGCTCCATTGGAATAGGTTGTTCTGCATGGTTAGCATGGACCTCCACTTTGGCATCCTCTCCTCCAGAGGGTGAGGTGAGCAGGCTGAGGTCCCCTCCCTCGGACACACTAAGGCTCTCCTAATCTATTCAGTAGCAATCACAGGGGCCTGCTGTGTTTGCACTGTCCCCAGCCCCCGGAGACACAGTTCTGACCTTGGGGACCCTCCGGCCAGAGCACAGCAGTCCATAGAGCTATCTGCAAGGATGGAATATTCTATATTTTTACTGCCAATATGGCACCGCAGTGATACTTGGCTACTGAGCCCTTGAAATGTGGCAGGTGTGACCGAGCACGTGAGGTTGTAACTTATTTTACTTAGATTTAAATTGCAGGTGCAGCAAGTGCCTACCACATTAGACACACCTAGGCGAGTTTCTGGGTCAGAGACAGACACATGAGGTGACGGGAACGGGGGGCCTGTGATGAAGAGGTGAGTGGGGTGGCCCTGACTGCCTGTTCTGTTGCTGAGCGGCCACCCGGTACCTGGGAAGGTCATCGTCACTAGCTCCTGTGCAGCATTAGGGTAAGAACGGGTCGGGAACAGAAACTTCGAAAACACCCAACGGTTCTCCATAGTAAACACGTAATGCTTTCATAACCAGCAGAAACGCTCCGTTTTTTAACTCCCTATGTTTTAAAGCATCCAGCTCTTATTTTTAATAATCCCCAAAAGCTGACAAGGTAATTACTGCATGGTTCTTTCTAATTAAGCCGTGTAGACATTCTACAAGGGCCAGCAGGAGATCCCCAGAATGCAGGACTTCAGAGGGAGGACATTCGAGGAACGAAACTAGAAAGAGCGAAAGTGAACCTAGACGGCTCCTCACCACCTCCAGGCAGAGGGTACCATGGGAGGTTCTGGAGCAGAGGAAGGGCCAGACCAGATCCGCACGCTGGCAAAACTCCTGTTCTGCAGGGACATGGACAAGAGGAAGGGAAGACCCAAGACTTGGCATTGAGGTTGTCGGGGTGGAGGTAAACCTGCAGCTCCTTTTTCTGCCCAGGGGCTCCACAGGAGTGGTGGCCTGAGCAAGTGGGTGGCTCCAGGAGGCCAGTGACTGGCTGGACGTGGCACTGCAGGAGAGGGAGGCTACAAGACACCGCCCAGTGACAGGCACGAGGGTGCGCTGCTAGATGAGTGTGCATGCTTGTTTCCAGAAGAGTGGTGTGAAGCGGGGCCCAGCTCCCTCCGACAGCCAGGCCGGCTCCGGGTAGGCCGTGACCGTGTCTGCAGCTCAGACTGAGAGGAGCTTCTGAAAGACTCCTCCTCTCTGGGAACAGCAGAGGTGGACCTGGTGCTGCAGGAAGGCCTGGGCTGCAGGCTCCTCGCCCGCTCTCCAAGCCATCCTCTGGCCCATCCAGCAGGCAGACGTAGCCAGCACCTGGCCAAGCACAGCCATGTCAGGACATGGGTGCCCGGTGCTCCAGCTCGCTTGTCCCACAAATGCCCATAAGGTCTTGAGCCTGAGGTCTGTGCTGGACTTGGGCAGTGCTGCACATGACAGGCAGGCTCCCTGTCCTCAGGGGACGCTGGCCTGCGGAGGGCAGTCCAGAGGGAGGGAACAGGTGAGCACCCCAGGGGGTGACTGCAAGGAGCGAGTTGGGTTCAGGGCTGACGGGAGGGTGCCAGAGACCTGAGGCGGGTCAGCAGGACAGGTCCAGGGCTCAGTCAGGGAGCCAGAGAGAGCCTGAGGCCCTGGCTGAAGCCCAGTCTCAGTGGCTCTCCAGGGGTGGCCGCCAAGCAGCAGCCAGTGGTAGGCAGCATCTGGAAACCTGTTAGCACCCACGCCGGCGGGGCCAGCCTAGCCCACGGAGCCAGACCCTGCAGCGGGACCAGCTCCTGTGGGGGGCGGGCCCTCCAGGTGATCCTGACACGCAGGCAGGCTTCAGAATCCGTGCCCCACCGTGGCGGCTGTCCAGGGCAACGTGGCCCCAGGGGACACTTGGCAGTGGCTGGGGACATTTTTGGTTGTCCAGACTGGAGAAAGAGCAGCTAAGAGCACCTGGTGGGGGTGGTCCAGAGGTGTTGTCCCGTGCTCCACGACACCCATGACAGCCCGCAATGGACAATGATCTGGCCACAAATGTCACCACAGCTGGGGGGAACCCTGGGCTATGTCCAAGGTCACCCTGCCTGGCTGTGTTTTAGGTGTTCCTGAGCAGAATCTTGAAAAAGATCAAATGCATGGCCCCAAGGGAATATTTGAAAAAGCTGTCTCAGGCGACTCAGCCTATGGTCCTGGCATCCAGGACCCAGGAGACAGCAAAGAAGAGAGCTCGGAATGGAGGAAGAGGGCAGCAAAGACCAGCCCTGCAAGAAACTGACCTTCTGGACTGAGGAGAGAAGGAGCAGGCGAGGCAGGGGGTGTCGGGCCAGGAACCCACGGACCAACCCGGGGAAGCTCAGGGTCTCCTTGCTCAATCAGCTGCATGGAGCCCCTTGGGCGGCAGGACCCAGAGCTGCTGGAAAGGGAGGGCGCCGAGTGCCCCAGGAGGGGGCAGACCAGGGCGCTTCCTCACCTTCTAAACTCCGCACTCTGGAAGACGTCCTGGTCACACTGGTGGTAGACAGGGGGCATTTACAGAGGCAGCATTAGCAGGTGCAGATGGAGGGACCAGCAGCTGGCATAAAGGCTATGTGGCTGGACTCCCACGTAGTCAACCACATCAAGTCCTGGACCCAGTGGCTTAAACTCACGCTGGGCGCATATGCGTGCATGCCCAAGATCCCGAGAGGAGAACGGAGAAGGGATTGCGGTGTGGTCATCCCCCTGGGGGTGATTTCTGGCTTTCTGTCTCTGTCTCTCTCTATCTTTCTGGCAAGTGCACACGCCCTATAGCAAAAATCCCCCCCCCCAAAAAAAAGCAGGTGCAGATGGAGGCATGCCCAGGCAATGTTGTAGAAGAGTAGAAGAGTTAGCTCTCGGGGGACATGGGCACCCCTGTCACATAGTCCATGGCCACAGATGAGCCACTGAGACCGAATGTACTAATGAGACCACAGAAAGGTACAATCGGGGAACCACGACTTAACGGAGGTTAACAAGATACTATTTGTCACCCCTCTTGCTGGAAAAAAAATAAACAAACAAACAAACAAAAACCAGAATCTAATGCTCTCAGGCATTGGAAAGGGCACTCAGAGATTCTGGATTGAGGGTCACGTGGTATACTTTACAGGAGGTTTGCAAATCATTAAAATTAAGACTGTGGGACCAGCAGGTAGAGTGGAGGTTGAGGTACTGGCTCTCACACAGCTGACTGTGCAGTTCAAGTCCTGGACCAGATGGCTTGAAAATTATGCCAGCACAGGTGCGTGTGTGCCCAAAATCCCTAGAGGAGAACGAAAATGGGATTACGACATGGCCATCGCCCCTCGGGGGGTAGGCAGGGAATTCTCGCTTTGCCTCTCTCTGCCTCTCTCTCTCACACATGCCCTATAGCAAAACTAAAAGAAAACTAATTTAAAACGTGGGTCCCTGCAGCCCAGACATCCCACAAGCTGGTATTCGCCTGGAGGAGATTGTCAGGAGAGCAGAAAGTGGCTTGTGCCCAGGTAATCACTGCCAAGTCACTGTAATGGGTCCGGAAACGACACAACACCGAGGGACGAACCAGAACAAGGTGTTCCTGGAACCCCGTGTGGTTATTAAAGAGAGGCCGTGACGTGACACGTCGGGGACTGCGGACAGCGTGTGCTCACGGCGTTTCCCGTGCATGTGTGCATGTGTAGGAAACCCCAGAACATCACCACAAATTCACAGGGGCAACCTCCGGAGAGTGAGAGGAACAGGTGGCAAAGTATCAATCGCCTTCCCAAGACTGTTTCTAGGAAATATTGGTGCATTAAATACGCCTTTTTCAGAGGAAGAATAGATGGAATGTGGTCTATTTTATAAAAATAAACGATGTAGACAGGCGACAGCAATTCTTCCACGTTAGATGGGATGGCTATTACTCCGCAGCTGGAGCACCGGGCTCCGTTTCCAGTAGTTGCAAGTGAAGGAACAGACAGACAAACGGAGGAGACCTTCAAGGGACGACAAGGTGAGGGGCTGAACAGACCAAGGTTGCTGCTGTCTGACCTAAACACGCAGCATAAGGTCACATGGGTATGAGGGGACAGATCCTCTGGGACATTAGCCAAATAAATAAATACATAAATAAACCTGCCCAAGCCAAGCACACACTGCATTGTAAAGAAGTGAGTCCCCCATCAAAAGAGGTAAGCAAGCACATGCCAAGCCAACCAGGCAGTGGTCGTAGAAAATACTCCCTAGCTTATCCTTCCTGCTTCAAGCGCCCGGGTCCCTTCCAACTGGAAGATGCTGATTCTCCTTCTGCCAGAAAACTCTGCTCAACACAACTTATAGATACGTAAGTGCTTGGTGCTTTTTAGCACGGCGCTGCCACTCAGAATTGATTACACACGGCCCACACCCCTCACCTCCATTTCGACCATATGAACCAGACGGACACTCAGGCGTGGACGCCCTCCCATGGCATAATTCAGCCGCGGGCGTCTCTGCTGTTCCTCCTCTCTCCCTCGCAGACCAGCACCAGCCACCTGCCAAACTCCCCCTTCCCACCCACGGAGGGATCTGCTCACAGCCAGCCAGAAAGCTAAGTTCTCCATAATTTCCATTTCAACTCTGCTTCCTTTCATTGCTGGGGAGACAGAGGGAGCTGGGAAGGAGTCTCCCGAGGACCCTCAACTTCCGTAATTGGAACAACCCCAGACGTGCGTCTCCAATGCAGAGAAGCAATCCATCATGGAGCGCGGAAGGCTTAATCCCGATTTCTAATAAAAGGATTAATTAAAGCCTTATGGGTCTGCTTACATGGCCTCTGCTTGAAACTCCAAGGAAATTAACGTGTCCTTCCAGATAGAGAAGTGGAGGATTTCCTCAGGCTTGTACCTTCGTGTCACCAAATGACACAGTGTCAATCGTCCTAACAAAGAAATCAAGACTCGCCAAATTTGCAGACAGGGCCTGAGCCGCAGAGCCGCCTGCGAGTGCTGCACCCGGGCGGTGAGCTGGCGCAGCTCCGCTGTGTCCCAGCGTGAAGGAACCCTGCCCTCACAGCCAGCCTGCCCCTGGGGACTGTCCCTCCGTGATGACCACCGTTCAGCGCCCCCCACGCCCAGTGGTTACATTTAGAGGAACCGAGTCTTCCAGGAAGGAAAAGGCAGCTCGTTATCAGAACAGAATCTCCCGAGGGAGTGTGCTTCTCTGACACAAAACTGGGTCCTGTGGCTTGATACCAAAACACCAGCTTTGATTCTTTTTTTGAACCCTGCGTTCCAGAAGCTCAGACTTCTCCCTGTGAAGCGAAAATCGCCTTCTGGTGGAGAAAGGATTCAATGATCACTTTGCTTCCTGAGTCTCCATGGTGACAAGCGTGCAGCGCAGCCCCTCCCCCCGCTGATCAGGCCTTTCTCCCTCTCCGGAAAGTAATCAATCAAGGCATACCGACGCCTTTGTGGCCCGTTTATCACCCAAACAATCGACGCTGCCGTGGGGGCGGAAGTCCACTCGGCGTCACGAAATCGGGCTCTGCCCTGGCGCGCGCGGGGCTCCCCTCCTGCAGGCGCACCTGTCCGGGAGGTGGGCGCGCCCAGGTGCGCCAGGCCCGGAGAGCGGCGCGGGGGGGCCGCGGGAGGAGTCGCTCTGCTGGGCGGGATGTCCACGCGGGGCCCGGGAGCTGGGCCGGGAGAGAGGGCAGGGCTGGGGCCGGCACCGGGCGGAGGCGGCCGGGCTGTCTGTTCCCCAGCGGGTCAGCACCCTCGCAGGGACGCGCCTCCGAGCGGGCGGCGGAGGCCACCAGACCGCGCCGAGGGGC